CCTGGTCGACGACCGGGCCGCGGGGACACTAAGCCCCGGAAGCACCTCAAGGTATGTACAGTTCTTAGACAACAATTTGGTATGAACTTGAAAAATCAAGAGTCAGAGTGAACGATATGGAAGAAAATGCAAGATTGAACCTGTGAAGAGCAGAGGTGCCATAGGCACAATCAGAGAGCACTGTATAAACATCAGGGGTCCGCGGTTGTTCAACGTCCTCCCAGCGAGCATAAGAAATATTGCCGGAACAACCGTGGACTGTAACACTGTAAAAGTGTTTGGGTTAGTTTATTTAAAATATATATAGAGTACACGAGTCACAGACAAGGATCTGAGAGGCGCCAGTTGTCTGCCTGAGATCTCACACCTCTAACCGTTAATGACCCCAAGTGACCTGAGGTCAGATCATGATAATTTCACCTTGCTTCCGCTAAGCGTATAATTGGAGCCGGGTAGCCTTCAAACATGCCGACGTTTAAGGAGTGGCTTGGTAGTGCCGGAGGCTATCTATTTGTGGGCGGAGTTAGCTACTAGGTTCCCCAATAAATACTCGGAGAACTATCGAGCATGGAGCATTAACAGACAGAACGGCAGTCAGGAGAGCAGAGCAGACGGGAGGCTGTCGGCCGGCAGGGCGGGAGTCTCCGTCAACTACAAACCCCCCCCCCCCCTCTCTCTATTCAACTTAGACTCAGTCCTCGGTGAGTGAACATTAAGGTGACTTGGTCGTGTTTTACAAGTGTTGTGTGATGATCAGGGGCAGTCAAGTTGTAGGGTTCTCAGATTCTTGGAGGATGACTCACTTTAAATATTAAACTGGAACATTTTAATTGAATTGCTAAATTATGATACTTCATGGGAAATATAATTATGAATTTATTATTTAAATTGTGTTTAACTTTGTTCCCTAGAGATTTTGAGTTGAGGTGAGAAAGCCTCTGTGGTTACTGGTTTCATGATATTAACGAGTACATGTTTGGAGTTGATACATGGTACAGAGGGAACATACTAATAATGAACTCATGATAACATCTTTTGAGAATTTTGTGATACAGGCAAGTTCCATTCCTTGTCTTGTATGTAATGATCATGAATGGATGGTGGCAGCATTTCGTCTTCTACTATCTACTCTTCTACTTCTACTCTTCTACTACTACCTATCTATTCCTCTCCCTCCACCCCTCTCTAAACTCTCACTTTCAGCTAATGAACCTCCTCGCTCCTCCCACCTCTCTGCCTCTCACCCCAAACCCTCACTAATTACTTCACTATTCATTTCTTTCCTCTCGTTTTCCTCTTATACGTTTGTGGCAATGATTCTGTATTCTAGAGTTCTCTCTAGAGTTTCGGGTAACTGATCCAGTTACGGCGCCTTGTAGTCTTAGCACCTAGGTAGTCAAATACCTAGGTTACAAGGTGTTGAACGAGAGAAGCTGCCTTAGGAACTCTGGAGGTGCTCTAGAATAGTTAGCTAACTGGGGACGGGATAACGGACTAGAGAGAGCTGTTTCCCCCGGCCTCGTTAGTTAACTGGGGGGTGGAATAATGGACAAGATAGAGCTATTTCCCCCACCCCCCGTTACAATGTTGGCAGCGGTGTTGAACAATGTTGTAGGTAGTTGGTGTTCTTTCAACATTGTTCAGTCCCACGTGTCTTTTTGCCGCTCAGGCGCTATCAGGGAGATCTTGACAGGTGTTTATTATTCGCGATTTAGCGAGCTTTTTTCAGGTTAGGAGATTGTGATTCTCTGGTGTTGTGTTTAGTGATTTTGTGAGTTTTGTGTAGTTCAGGGAATGTTCACCAGAACTTGCGTGTGTAGTGATTTATGTTAGTAATAAGATTTGGCGATTTGGGAACTTAGCGGTGTTGGTAGTGCAGGTCAGCTGAGTGTGACAGGTGACCTCGCATGTCCCACGGGGACACCCAGCCACCGCTGGTCTCCAGGTCAGTGGGGAGTGGCAGGTGTAGATTTTAAGTAGTTTTTAGTGGTTCTGCTCAGATTATTGCGATCGACTGTTTTACTCCATTTGAACGCAATAACCCGAGGTGTACTGGTCTTGTACAGCATGCTAGGGGGAGGCTTAGTATGTCAGTAGACTTCACGTTGGGGACGCTCGACGTTAGATAGTCTGGTCACAGGGGTGGCAACAGTTTGGAGTTGTTGACCGGCGGAGATGCTAGGGAAACACTCTGGGTCACGTAGGTGGCTGTAGGTTAAGGGTGGGAGTAATGGTTAATTATGTACTTAAGATTAGGAACGGTACAGTTAAGTTTAGGCTAGTGTTTTGTCTATTAGTGTTGATTTTTTTGTGACAAGTTAAAGGTAGTGATGACCTTATTCTCTCTTCTCTAACTTTCCTCTGTTACTGTCTTATGTTCCACCAAGTCAATATCATTCAGTGTTAATTGGATTATTTTAAAAATTTAAGTGTAGTTGTTGCCAGGAGGAGAGCGGTATGACTGGACTGTGTAACCCTATACAAACTACAGGGTCACATAACATATCTTGGGAGCACGATATTGTCGCCTTTCTGTTCACCCACAGGTGGGAGCCAGAAGAGAGGAGAGACGCACATACAAAAGAGGGAGACGGCTGCTGTGTACCACACTCACGGGCGTTAATCACCACCACCACGACCAGCCCACTACCTGGAGGTCACGGCTCCACCACCATCACCACCCCAGGGGACCCCAAGATGCAGCCCTCTCGGTCAGTCAACATTGGTCTACCCAGTGGACCCCAGGTCGTTCTGCAGACGACCCCAGACGACCCAGTAATGATGGAAGAGGAGCAACAACGACTCCAGTCTGTCCCACCAACATCGGTCTACCCAGGATGGACCCCAGGACGGACAGACCCCCAATGGACCCCAGGTCGCTTGTCTAAGACCCATGGGAGGAGGAAGAGAGAAGAAAGAAGAGAGAAGAAAGAAGAAAGAAGAAAGAAGAAAGAGAGAGAAGAAATAGAGAGAAGAAAGAAGAGAAGATAAGACAAGCTGAGTGAGACATGATACCTAGTGTCCCTTGCTGGTGTCAGCATCATTGCATGGAGCGTAATTGCAAGACAGGATCGTTTGCCTTGACTGGCCGCCCCTCCTGCAAGCAGGTAGCTCTGTTGAGTGATTCTTCCTGTGTCATGCAGACTTGATGTGGCTGTCAGAAGTAGCTCTCTGAAGGAGGCGTGCTGGAGCAACAGGGAGGAAGAAGAGTAGGATGGGATTTCTACTGTTGGCAACTATATGAAGGTCTCGAAACTTGTAGTCCCTATAGCTGTGAAGAACCCCAATATACGTCTCTCATGGTGACTGACGTAGGGCCAATTACAGATCAGCTGGGACAACCGAATTCCACGGTCCTGTGCGCAGTTCAAGTAGTAACGGCTTTCGGGTTGACCAAGTGTTGTTGTGCGTTAACGACGGAGAAGCGACGGAGGCAGTTGTGTTGAAGAAATGTGGTACAGGATTATCTACAAGACCAAGCAGTGACGTCGCCCAGCCAGAGACAATGGACGTCTGTCTACATATTTCATTTTTTAGAGTAGGATGATGTATATTTGTTTAGCTAGGATGTATTTTTTTTTCGTTAATAAAGTTGTTGCACACAGCTAGCTTGCTTTAGCAGTGTTGCAAAAACTTTATTTCGGGGAGAAGGGGAGATGTAACACTGTAAAAGTGTTTGGGTTAGTTTATTTAAAATATATATAGAGTACACGAGTCACAGACAAGGATCTGAGAGGCGCCAGTTGTCTGCCTGAGATCTCACACCTCTAACCGTTAATGACCCCAAGTGACCTGAGGTCAGATCATGATAATTTCACCTTGCTTCCGCTAAGCGTATAATTGGAGCCGGGTAGCCTTCAAACATGCCGACGTTTAAGGAGTGGCTTGGTAGTGCCGGAGGCTATCTATTTGTGGGCGGAGTTAGCTACTAGGTTCCCCAATAAATACTCGGAGAACTATCGAGCATGGAGGATTAACAGACAGAACGGCAGTCAGGAGAGCAGAGCAGACGGGAGGCTGTCGGCCGGCAGGGCGGGAGTCTCTGTCAACTACAAACCCCCCCCCCCCCCTCTCTCTATTCAACTTAGACTCAGTCCTCGGTGAGTGAACATTAAGGTGACTTGGTCGTGTTTTACAAGTGTTGTGTGATGATCAGGGGCAGTCAAGTTGTAGGGTTCTCAGATTCTTGGAGGATGACTCACTTTAAATATTAAACTGGAACATTTTAATTGAATTGCTAAATTATGATACTTCATGGGAAATATAATTATGAATTTATTATTTAAATTGTGTTTAACTTTGTTCCCTAGAGATTTTGAGTTGAGGTGAGAAAGCCTCTGTGGTTACTGGTTTCCTGATATTAACGAGTACATGTTTGGAGTTGATACATGGTACAGAGGGAACATACTAATAATGAACTCATGATAACATCTTTTGAGAATTTTGTGATACAGGCAAGTTCCATTCCTTGTCTTGTATGTAATGATCATGAATGGATGGTGGCAGCATTTCTTCTACTATCTACTCTTCTACTTCTATCTACTACTACCTATCTATTCCTCTCCCTCCACCCCTCTCTAAACTCTCACTTTCAGCTAATGAACCTCCTCGCTCCTCCCACCTCTCTGCCTCTCACCCCAAACCCTCACTAATTACTTCACTATTCATTTCTTTCCTCTCGTTTTCCTCTTATACGTTTGTGGCAATGATTCTGTATTCTAGAGTTCTCTCTAGAGTTTCGGGTAACTGATCCAGTTACGGCGCCTTGTAGTCTTAGCACCTAGGTAGTCAAATACCTAGGTTACAAGGTGTTGAACGAGAGAAGCTGCCTTAGGAACTCTGGAGGTGCTCTAGAATAGTTAGCTAACTGGGGACGGGATAACGGACTAGAGAGAGCTGTTTCCCCCGGCCTCGTTAGTTAACTGGGGGGTGGAATAATGGACAAGATAGAGCTATTTCCCCCACCCCCCGTTACAAATCCCAAGAACATATGACATTACCCTAAATTGTAGCATCTGAGACCACTTCCCCTTGACCATAAAATTTGCGGAGTCCTCGCACCAACTGGTAGTGGCGTCGACCATCCAGGTACAACATGGCTTCTGTATTGGTAAAAATAATTTCAAGTCAACATAAATCTTAAACACACACGTAATAATCAACACAACAGAATACTGTACCAACAAACAACATTAGTGCACACAAAGAAACAGTAGTGTTAACTTGGTATGATGTGGTAGCTGGGATCCAAGCACATAATGAGTTATTCTTTAAAATGACAAGGACAAATTACCAGATGGCTTAACAAAATTACTATCTGCATGGCACCATGATAGCTCCTCTCAGCTTGTCACTAGCGCATGCAAGACTATCGAATGTGCCAGGCTTCTGTTGACTATTTTAACCCTCTGGGAAAAGGTACATTTGCAAATTATCCCGGGCAAGATGGTTTTGCAAGGGATCTTGTCCTGAATGGGTTGAGCCTAAATGGGTGTCTAATAAGACCTGCCTCTCTGGTCTTGTCCAGTGCATAAGCAGAGAAAAGCTCATGAAAGGAGAGAAAAAGGTAACCAAACAATAAATCATAGGCATGACAGAACAGTAAAAACACCACATACATCTAAAATTCCATTTATAATGATGACATCAACAGCGACTTACAAAAGGAAATGTAGAACTTACCAGGATATGTCCGAGGCAATGTAGACGGGACTTGTTGGTCAACTGCATAGGTGAAGTGAAAGATGTTTGTAAGACTGGTAGATCTTGTAACTGGATCCATTACACTTGCTTTTGTACTGATCTGAACATGTGAGCCTTCTGTATACACAACCTAAACCAAAGAACATATTGATATATATATTATGTTTTGTATTTATAATAAATATACAGATTCTACAAAATGTAGATATTTATTTAAAACACTGTTCTCTAACAAAACTCTACCTTCCTGATATTGAAGATATTATTATAAAGTTTTAAAGGATGATGCTTTCAGCTTACATTTAGTGTCTATTCACATTCACTCTTTCACTAAATCAAATATATAACTAGTTCTTCCCTTAATCAAGATTATACCTTGCGTTACCTTGAGTTGGTTTCGAGAATCAGCATCCCCGTGCCTCGGTCTCTGACTAGGCCTCCTAAGGTCTGCTCTAGATCACTGTATTTATCCGAGACCAGTTTTAAATTTTGTTGTATTTTCACAACCCAGCACGAGGTCAGACTTCTTTGTTAACTGTCTCATGAGCCAGGATATGAGCAAACATATACACACCTTGCAAGACCCTGCTAATTATTTCCTTACTTTGAGGAAATCTCGAGTTGGTCTCGATTATCAATATCTCTGCAACTTGGACTTTGACAAGGCCTCTTAAGAATTTTCCTTTCTTCTTTTTCTCCAGCAATGTTTCTTGTATTAACTGATATAGTATTCACTAGCCTTGAATTTAAAATACATTCAATAGTCTTGAAGTTTTGATGGTGATATCCTGTTTTATGACTTTTTTTTTGTTTACAATGTAGAAATAATACAAGTGCAATAATAATTCTGTACAAATACAGAAATCTTCTGAATTATGTTTACAGGCAAAGAGCTCGCCATCTTGCAGTTTATCTTTTTCATTTTCCCACTTTTTCCAAGAGCACAGCCCACTAATGACTTTACAACCAGGACTCCCATTACTGCTTGATGAACAAAGGCAAACAGTGAAGTACTGTAACAAGTGTCCAATTGTACCTCCCTGTTTTGGCATCCACCACTTTCTCACTTAAATTGTTCCAGCCATCTATAACTCTGTTCATGTGTGAGATAGGATGTTCTTGTTCTGATGACTTATACTAACAATGTTGAGTGTAGGGTTAACTAAATACTCTTTAATGCGGATGAAGTGCTCCAGGAGACAAGTGAATACAGTACTGTATAAAGTTAAATACTAACCTGCGAGTTAAGGTAAAGCAGGGAACCAATTTCCACAGGCTGACGGAACATGATGTCATCTATGTGCAATGCTCGTGGTCGTTGTTTACTGTGTAAAAAAAAAATAAACAATTATAAAATTGGAGCTTTCAATACAAAAAACTTTGCTAAGCCAGTACCTTGGATATTTCCATAGCCACAACCCATATAGTCAATCCAGGACAATATCCATCACCAGGTTCTAAGTGACTTAAAACTGCTTTGATAAGAGTTTTAATAAGTTTGATAAGTTTAATTGCAGAGCATGTAATGCTCTGCAATTAAACAATTAGGTAATCTGTTATGTAATTAAGGCAAGGAGAAGGTGGAGAATACATTATGATCAATCACTGATCAACCAAAGACAAAAACTACCACCAAGTGTCAAGTTCTGATTACCACAGCAAGGCCAGAGAAGCCAGAAACCCCCTAAATGAGTGCACCAACCACCCCAACAAACACAGCAAAGCCCAGACAAAAAAGTAGGGATCAGGAGCAACCAAGGAATCAACACTTCACGTCTGATCCGACTCAAATAGGAGGACCACAAACCCCCTCAGAGAAGGATTATCGAGTGGAGCAAGGAGAACACAAGCCATCCACCAAGAAAGGCAACCCAGGCTTGCCCTGACCATAAATGACTGAGAACATGCAATATGGGTGCAATAAAACACAACTAAGAAACAAAAGCACAAAAAAATAGTCCCTCCTAGTACAGGTGCTCCTTAGTGGAGGATATAGACAGACTCCTCATTCTTCCTTAATTACTTTTACTAATAAAAATCTTCATTACTGAATAATTGTTGCACTACAGAATTCTAAACAGGTCTTAGACTTTCTACCAAATAATTAAAAATGTCATCACAACTGGGTGTTAAGTCACATTGAGCCTGATGGTAGATGGTGTTCTGGGTGGATCATATGGACGGAATATGGAGAGTAACTGAGAGGCTTTGGATGAAAAACAATTAAGGATGAAGAAGGTTGATTACAAGCAGTTATATCAAATCCCAATGTACTGTATACAAGTTTAAAAGTGATATTAACAAATTATATAAGAGTATGACCTATTATACATTATTAACCCTTGATGAACTAGAGATTATTAATAATGTTCTGCAAAACACAAGAGAATTTACAAAAATGTGTTATTGGCTTTTATGTCTGTAATGTCAAGATTCCAAAACTCAATGTTACTTGGAAATGTAATACTGTACTTCACACAAAATACAAAGACTTAATAAAGTAACAGTAATAATAATACTGTAATACAAAACAAATTAAGTTGGAAATGGTATAACAAGTTATTAAATCTATTGTTACCATTTAAAAAGCAGGATCACATTAAAAACATGAGTTACAAAAACGACTAGAGGGAGGATCTACACATTTCCATAATACTGCACAACTATTTATGGTACTGTATACATGTGATCATTCTAAAGAAAAGTTTGCCATGACTTGTCTAAAGTCGGCATATAAAAATAATTTCAAGAATAGCTAAAGCCTAAATGCCCTGTAACCCTCAACATGTGGTTATCATCATTTATTCATCACATGGGACACTGTGGTCAACATCACTTGATGATTATTGTTATTATTGCCGGATTTGTTTCGTATTTATTTATTTTTTTAATATATATTTTAATGAACACAACTGTGTACATTAATCAAGTTGTTCAACACAAACACAACATAGGTTATCTTGAGATGGTTTCAGGGCTTTTAGTGTCCCCGCGGCCCGGTCCTCGACCAGGCCTCCAACATTGTGTAAACTAGCTTGTCAGTAACTCTCGTGTTTATGCCATTGAATGACACAATAACTCTGACACCCGGCTTCCTCATACAGCTTGTGAAACCAGAAAAAGACATTTTTTTGTTCAGCTTTCCTTTGCTTTTTTGTGGGTACAGGTGATATGGAAATTTTCATGATTGCCACATGTAGAGGGTTCAATTTATATATGTAATGTACCAAACTGCAGAAGCAATATGGTGTTATGCAGATGAGGGTGGTGTTATGAAAAGATATTGAATGTTGGGCCATAAGGGTCTAAGACAGGAACTTGTTCCTTCTGACATTTTACATTTACAATACATTTACCTCCATACTGCACCTATTAATTTTCATGGTTACCTCTATATGTACATAAAAAAAATGGATAGGTTAGAAATTCATGCAACAATCACAAAAAAAACAGAAAAACAGGACCTAGGGTAAAAGAGCATCAGCTGTTCCCCAAATACCCATGCACTACACAGGCACGGTGAAGTCGCAAAACATCTATCAAGTAGTGAAGCCAGCACCTTGTTGGACCACCAAAAACTCCAAGCCCAGGAATTAACTGACATCTTGGAAAAAGAAGGCCATCAAAGCAACAAACTTACATACATCATGAAAGCGAGAACAGGTAGGTGACATGTTGAACCAAACTATCCATCAGATGACCAGGGGCAGAGCTGGACCTTGGAGCAGGATGAGAGAGACTAGATTGCCAAGTAAGGCCTTGACCAAACTCAGGGCACACAGCAAGCAAGATGACAGTGGGAGACATAAGAGTGAGTGGAAAAACAGGATACTGGACATGGAGTCGACAATGCAGAAGTGTGACACCCCAAACACTGAAAGAAGCAGAGCGGAGAAAATGTGTATAAAGGCTAGCACCTTGATAAGGGCCCAAAAAGACTAAAGGAATGCCCTCAGGAAACCAGGGTCCACCAACCATATTAGAAACCCAGCAAAACCTAATAACAAACTCAGGCAATTACCCCTCCAGGAACCTATAACATAGATGTTGAGCAGATGGGTGCCAAGCACAAAGTGCAACCAGATAGCCACTTTTGGTGGTGCAATTAACCTCTCCTCACCACTGTCTTCCTTTCCCTAAACAGTGTGGTAGAACTATTCACAAATGTCCTCGTTATGGTGGAGCTCAAATGCAGTGATGGCCTGGCATGTTGAGCAGTGCCTTGAGTGGACCATTATTGGGGTAGCAGGCAAAGAGCTGCTTAGAAACTGTATTGGATGTAATGACAATGTTATTAAATTAAATTTTGGGAGAAATGTTGCAAAAGACAGAGTGAGATGCTGTGTTTAACTCTCCAAGTGTGGTCATTATTGTGTGATCAACTAGTGCAGAGATTTTCAACCTTTTTCAACCTGCATCATATATACACATACATATATATACATATATATTAAATGGGTATTAAGACTGCATTTGAAAGATTGAAAGATTAATAGCTAAACTTTTAATCATAATGATATTTTGTAAATAATGTTGATCATGGATTTCAGAAGATTGGTTTATAAAATTAATGTTCATATTTCTTATTATTTCTGATATTTTTCACCTTCCCTCAAACTCCCACAGCACACCTGTAAAACATTAGTTCTAGGCACACTAGTTGAAAAACGCTGGTCTGGTGCCATGTCGTTATCATCATTATCGTATGAGAATAAAAATCTTTTTATTTATTTTTATTTTATATATATAGATACTGTACAAGAGTTCTTACAATCTTGTACGATATAATGCATAGCATTTCAGGCAAGTCCTTAATCCTAATTTTCACACAAACACATCCCCAGGAAGCAGCCCATAGCAGCTGTCTAACTCCCAGGTACCTATTTACTGCTAGGTGAACAGGGGGCATCAGGGTGAAAGAAACTCTGCCCATTTATTTCTCCCCTCCGCCGGGGATTGAACCCAGACCCTTAGGACATATGAACCCGGAGCGCTGTCCATTCAGCCGTTAAGCACCCCTCCCCATTGACATCTTGTGTCAATGTTTGAATACCCTTATTGCCCCATATGTATCCAATATTTCAACTGCCTTCCCAGCATTCATGGGAGACTACAAAATAATTTGGGATCAACACATTCTTCAGCCCCAGGTCTCCCATTAAAATAGAATAGTAGCACTTACCTGAGTCAATATAAAGGTTCTTACCTTATAGATTTAGTCTGGAATTCTTTTTACTTTTGCATACAGATTCCTTTCTTTCGAATATATTTCATGTGAAAAATAACCCAAAAAATATTTTTTTGTTAGGTCCTGGTTCCTAACACAACATAATGCCACAAGGAATGTTGACTACAGTCCAGGCTAAAATCAGGATAAATATGTGTGTTTTGTTCTTAATATTTCATGCCGTTCAATTTAGAGCTACAATTTCATAACAAAAAACAAGCAAAATAATTATCTACTTTTTATTTTGTCTATAGTCAGGGGTAGTAATTTAGATTATAGCTGTATGTTGAGGATTAAGATTCTACAATTGCCAAAAGCTATGTATGTAGAAACATTATTCCAAATAAAATCATTGTAATCATATATCTATTTTATCTCGCTGAAAAGCAGAGTGGAACATAGAGAAAATACAGATAAAAGAACTTACTTTGTGTCCCCTGTATTATAGATTATAACCGCACATTTGCCAACCTGCTAAATCCTTCACTAGCCATTCTCTCTCCAGTTGTACTAACCTATATGCAAAGGCATTGGCCCATGAAAGCTCAAATGCTAGCCGCATCAAGAAGCCACCAAAGATTTTATTGAAGATATTGCGAAACTGAAAGAGAGATAAAATGTTTTTTCTGTATTTTCCTTGAGAACGATAGCTATAGCATTAAGCACACTAACTCAAAATATGTGTTCAGATTGATCAACAGCTTCTCTCTCTAAATCATCTGTATGCCAATATTAAATGTGACCTGTAATATCATATCAAAAACAAACAAATGTCATTAAGGAAAAACAAAATTACATATCAGAGAACAAAAATATGCCAAGGAAACAAATTCTCAAGTTTGAAACTCGTATGAATGATATTAATTAAAATTATGATACAATTATGCAGTGAGTTTAGCATAAGAACATAGGTAACTACAGAAGGCTTATTGGCCCATAAGAGGCAGCTTCTACTTATAACCATACAATCCCACTCATATACATGTCCAACCCACGTTTGAAACAATAAAGCGTATACTGTAGTATGAAGAACTTTTTAGCTATAAATTTGTTTTATAATGCATAGCATTTGTGTTCCAAGTACTGGAAGACTGGTAGGAAAGGTTAGTAGAGCAGGCATTAGTTATGCAATACAAACACTGGCATGAACTTCCTCTCAGTACACATTAGTAATTTTTGAGTGTTAATAGATACAATACATTCAATCTTAAACAAAAACTGGTAAAATAAAAAGCTCAATTAACAGGTTTTGGTGTCCAACACAAAATAAACCTCCTTAATGTGGCAATCATTAACATTTATTTAAGTTACAAATATTTATACAAAATAAAATTATACAATAATATAACAAACAAAAATCTTAAAAATAAAGTAGTCTCCCTCCAACTACTGACTCAGGTTTTCATTGTACAGTGCATAAACTAAAGTAAGTAAGTAATTATCAAAAGAAGGCACCAAACCGGGAAGGCTATGTAGCACCATCAAATACGCAAAATAATCAGAGGGCGCTAAATATCACCAAGGATGCCAATACGAGAACAAAAACGCATAAGGCGAACGATATCAAAAGTATCCGAGTCACCAAGAATTCTATTGAGGGACAGGTGACCGCGAGGAGCGGTCGGAAAGCAAGACACACGCTTGTCCTGGAAGTCAGGACATTCAAGAAGGACATGCACGACCGTAAGAGGGACAATGCAACTAGGACAATAAGGAGCAGGGCGGCGCTCCATCAAGTGACCATGGGTTAAGCGAGTATGGCCAATACGCAACCTCGCCAGAGCTGTTTCCCACCGCCGGTTACGGTGGAAGGAGGACTGCCACGAGGAAACACAACATTTAAGAGTACGTAGCTTGTTACCAGTAACAGACAACCAAGAAGCCTGCCAACGGGTAAGGACTGAGGAATGGATAACCGGGTAAAAGTCGGAATACGGAATGCCTTTACGAGAGATGGGACAAGAGCGGACAGCTTCCTTGGCGGCAGCATCCGCACGTTCATTTAAAGACACACCAATATGGCTGGGAACCCAACAAAACTCAACCGACTTAAATTTACTGTGAACGAGAAACAGCCAATGCTGGATCTCGACAACTACTGGATGAACCGGATTAAAGGACCCGAGAGCCATGAGGGCACTACGAGAGTCAACAACAACTACAAAGGAAGACTGACAACGAGAAAGCAGGAGACGAAGAGCATAGAGAATAGCATAAAGTTCCGAGCATAAACTAAAGAGATTTCATTTGACTGCCATTTTAGGGAATTGTTTCTGTGCTGGCTACCTCAGCCAGCTCCTGGAGCTTACAGCACTGACTTCACACAGCTGTCCCCAAAATTTACATTACTGAGACTCTTAGCATACCAGAAATCAGGATCCAAATCTAGCTTCCTGAAAGAGATAATGGAAGCACATAGGAATCTAGGATTGACCCTCAACTTAAAGAACCACTCAGTCAAATCCTATGAGAAAGGGATGAGATAGGGAAACAGATCCAACTGCTAGTTGGAACAGGCAAACAGCATCTGCTCTCTCTCAGTTGCCACCAGAGGACAGCTCAAGACCTCAGGGGTCCCAAGCAGCCACCCATCTGTTTTGCATGGTGTGCTACAGACCCAATTGGTATATTCTTGCTGGGGACTGGACACTGTTCACACGCAAGTGGTTTTGCTTTTCTTCGGACTCTGTCCAGTGCAAGTGGTTGTACATATGTTTACCATCAACCATGCATGACCTTTGTTGCTTAATATCACTTTGGTTGGACCTATCCAATGGATTGACTTATTTTCAAGTCACCCTTTTTTCAGGTAGTGCTTCGGGATTTAGTTAGCAAGGCAAGGCCTGTTGAGTGGGAGGTTAAATAGTTAGCTTTTTATCTTACTTTGGCATGCTACCATCATGATTCTGTCCTTTGTGATAGAAGCAGTTTCACTGCTGTACACTGGAAGTCATATGGCTTACGGTTCTTCCCATTGCATTGCTCATGTGGTTCGTTCCACTGTCACATGCATCAGAAACACCTGAATCCTTGCAGGTCTTGCTCCTCTTTGGATACATGGGGCTGTGCTTGATTCAGTTTCATGAGGGTAGAAGGATTTTGCACAGTTCTTTGAATTTGCACTTGAGAGATGCATAAGTGACCATTTATTGTCCATGGCTCCTCATGCCCTCTGTGATGGGTTTTGCTGCTTGGTTGACATGGTAAGTCAATCCCCCGAGTGTCAGCAAGGTACAGTATGTATAATACAGTGGCACCTCAACTTATGACTGCCCCTACTTAGGAATTTTTCGAGTTACGACCCCAATTTCGTCAAAAAATACGACTCGACTTACGACCGTTGCCTCGATTAGCGACTTTGTTGACACACGTATGGGTTGACCGAGCACGTAGTTCCTGGTAGCACAGGTGATCCCGCCTAAGTTTACCAGAGCCATCCATTTAGTGACGAGCGTGCTCGTAAAGAATTTAATTGTTTTTGTGCTTTTTTGTTTTTTGAACATAGAAGTAATTATTATATATTATGCCATGGGGTCCCAATAAAGTCAGTGGTAAGGTTCAACCTAAGAAAACACATGTGAGGATGACCATAGAAAAAAAAATCATTCATAGTGAATGAATGTGATGTATCCCTACAGACACGTGTTAAAACATAGGGGAAAACACGTGTCTTTAGACAGATTCTTAGTAAGCAAGCAAGCAGTGAGCCACAACCAGATCCTAGTGGTATGCAGACAAAACATATGAGAGAGAGTACCCCAGAGAAGTCATCACTGCCTGATGTTATAATGGAAGGGAACTTCCTTTCCAAACAGTAACACCTCTCCACCTCCTCACCGTTCGAAACGCCATTTTCTGGGTGAAACCTGGAGGCTCCCCGGAGTTATCCAGGCTGATATGTATCTATTAGCTCTCTGGCATCAGTCAAAGTGCATGGAGTTCTTACCTACCGGGGACCACAAGACAAAACCTGGCCCCCTAAGAGAGGCACGAGGAGCAATGGCCTATAGAAACCCCCGTGTGGTTGGGAGCATTCTATATCTGCTTTCTATTTAGTATTTTGAAGGTTTCTATGAGATCTACCCTGTCATGCCTGGTCTGTAGTGTTGTTAACCCAGTGGCATTCAACCATTCCTGATATGAGGGATGACTAAACTCTGGTATTATTTTTGTTGCCTGGTGTTGCACCTTCTCCAGAGCAGCTATGTCTTTCTGAAGATGAGGTTTCCATGCCTGGATGCAATAATCTAGGTGGGGGCACACCAGAGACTTATACAATTGAACGACTACTTTCTTTTCCTTGAAGGTAAAGGTGATGGATTCTGACTCCAAGGTCCTTTTCTACATCTATCTGTTGTAATGTAGTGATGTCAATTTGGTAGTTGTGATTTGAATTGTTATGCCCTACATGTCAGGTCTTGCATTTATCGACATTAAAAAGCATTTGCCAGTCATCTGACCATTTGTGGAGTTCATATAGATCTCTTTGTAAGGTCCCAATATCACTTTCACTTCCCACTTTACAATAGATCTTAATGTCATCTGCAAATCTGATGATGTGGTTTGTAATATTCTCATCTATGTCATTAATGTATATGAAAAAAGGGTTGGCCCCCAAAATGGACCCCTGTGGAACCCAACTTAGCACATTTCCCCAGTCAGATTCATTTCCAATTAGCACAACCCTTTGTTTTCTATGTTTTAACCATTGTTTTATCCATTCCAGTATTCTCCCATTTATTCCATGTGTCTGTAATTTCCTTGTCAATCTTTCATGTGATACCTTGTCAAAAGCTTAAGCAAAGTCCATGTAAGCTACATGTACCAGAAGTCCTTTGTCTGAATAGTGGGTTACCGTTTTCAGAAATAAGAGCAGGTTAGTGAGGCAGGATCTATTTTTACCAAACTCATGTTATGTTGATTTTACTAGATTGTTCTCTGTGAGATAAATGATAAAGGAAGTTGACCAATCCACAAACTAGAAAATGAAGGGACGATGACGTTTCGGTCTGTCCTGGACCATTCTCACAATCGACTTGAGAATGGTCCAGGACGGACCAAAACGTCGTCGTCCCTTCATTTTCTAGTACAGTATGTGGATTGGTCAACATACTTCAGCCATGTTATTATGACTCATCACCTGCATAAAGGAAGTGATGATGTTTTCAGTTCATCCTAGACCATTATCAAGTCGTGAAAATGGTCCAGGATGGACCAAAATGTCATTATTTCTGTCATATTCAGATCTGAGAGTTGTGGGGTCTAATTTTCAGCCATATTAATGTGGCTTTGTCTGCATTTTTACTGTGACTGTATTTCTGATTATTTGCTCTGTAATTCTGTAAGAATTAAAGGATGGGTTGTGCAGGGATTAAAGGATTAAAGGTTGTAAAGGATGGGGGTTGTGTAGGGGGGGGGGGTTGTGCAGACGGTGGTGCGGCGACGTGATGACGTCATGCTAGTTTGCTAATTTTGTTTGGGGAGATCTGTCCACTCGTTTGGCTTTCAGTAGCAATATCTTCACCAGAATAGGGGTTTGTTTTGGGGCGCCTACCTTTCTGGGTGCCTGTCTTGATCAATGGCAGACACAGAATGCTCCCAACCACAGGGGGAGGGGTCTATAGGCCATTGCTCCTCGTGCCTCTCTGAGGGGGCCAGGTTTTGTCTTGTGGTCCCCAGTAGGCAAGAACTCCATACCTTGAAGTTACCTTGAAGTGTTTCCGGGGCTTAGCGTCCCCACGGCCCGGCCGTCGACCAGGCCTCCTCTTTGCTGGACTGGTCAACCAGGCTGTTTGACGCGGCTGTGTGCAGGTTTGGGACTAGCCCCTCTAACATTTTCCATGTACAAATTATTATGTATCTCTCCCACCTGCGCTCAAGAGAATACAGATTTAGGCTCTTTAGCCGGTCCCAATAGTTTAGATGTTTTACCGAGTGGATTCTAGCAGTAAAGGATCTCTGCATACTCTCCGAGTCAGCAATTTCTCCAGCTTTGAAAGGGGCTGTCATTGTGCAGCAGTACTCCACTCTAGAGAGCACTAGCGTCTTGAAAAGTATCTCCATCGGTATTGCATCTCTAGTGTGAATGGTACTTGTTATCCAACCTGTCATTTTTCTTGCAGTTGTGACGGCTACTTTATTGTGTTCTTTGAAGGTAAGCTGGAACTTATCTTCATTAAACACCATATTATTTTCTGTAGCCCATAGAAAGACCTGATTTACGTCTGATTGGAGGTTTGCCGTGTCCTCTCTGTTGTCTACTCTCATGAAAATTCTAGTGCCATCTGCAAAGGATGATACAGTACTATAGATTGTGCCCTTGTCTATGTCCGATATGAGGATGAGAAAAAGTACTGGAGCAAGCACAGTACCCTGGGGGACTGAGCTCTTCACGGTTGATGGACCGGATTTGATTTTATTGACTATTACACATTGGGTTCTGTTAGTCAGGAAATTGTAGCTCTATCTGCCTATTTTTCCGGTAATTCTTTTTGAATGCATTTTATATGCAATAACACCATGGTCATATTTGTCAAAGGCTTTTGCGAAATCTGTGTAAATTACATCAGCGTTTTGTCTTCCTCGGGAGTCGTAGGGACTCACCCCAGAAAAGGTATGCATAGAATGTTGAAAAAAAATTGAAAAATAATATTTGTATGTACAATGTATATAGTAGAGTGATGGAAAGGATGCTATAGAACATTTGATAGCGTGATCATTGTGGGCACACCACACACCAATATGCCAATAGACTGTCACATTAAAGAGGTTCCACTAAATTTATCCTGGCCCTAAATTCATTTTACATGTGTCCATGAATCATGACTATCTTATTGTTATATACTAACAATTTTAATGTCAAGTACTACTCGTTTTAATTAAACATTCTACTCTTTTTTACAAAAGTGATAAAGAAGATAAATGTGAATTTTACCAATAATTTATGAATACATGCTAGTAAAATGGTACTGACCTATATGTAAAGGCACATGCCCAACCCAATTCGTAGGCTTGACGCATGATAAATCCTCCAAACACCTTCTTGAACCGATTCCTGTGCTGAAGAGGGTTGAGGTAAAATTCTCACAGCATTAGTCTGGATTTAATGTTATGTTATAAAGTATGAAACTAATATTATATTGGTAGACATTAGTCTATATCTCATATCAGGAGAGTATTCAAAATATTATATCCTGCCACGAAGGAGGTACACAATAAATATTCTCTACCAGTGGGATCCCATCTCCTCGCACTGCACGAGGTGGACACCTGCTTCTGGGCAACATAAATCTATAAACCATTAATTAGTATACTAAAAGGTATTAGTTGGCCAGAATATATCCTAAAGTCGTTCTTCGATGAAGAGTATTCTACACACACAACTGAAGCAGTGCAATTTTCAAGCAATTTTCAGAACTTCCTACAACAAATCCATCTTCTCTACCACTGGACTGTTCTTCTCTGTTTCTAATACTAAGCTCTAATTCTAGATTTTGTATCTTAAGCTAATCTCTGAACTCAGCCTCAGTAGTTTCCCCTGCTAGCACACTCCCCATTGCTGGTATGACTTATATAATACCAGGCATTCTACAGCTCTCTCACTTAAGTACAGTGGACAAGGGCCTTTACAATCTTCGCTTTCCCTTCTGGAGCCAAGCTCTACAGGAAGAATGACCTACAAGCGACAGCAAAAAACAGATCCACGAACAACCCCGGGCAAAGGCAATGCAGATGGACAGCCGAAAATCATTCTAGGAGAGAACCAGCAAAAAGGATTCACCACAAATGCTTTCCACACTTTTGCCAGTAGGAAGAGCAAGAGACAAGCCACAAATAGAATCGGTGAGACAGACTGAAGGAGGAAGACAAAGAAAAAGAATGACTAAGGTGCCAGAAACAAGATGCACCACAGGGCAAAATAACCCCCTCCCTAAAGCCAGGATAAAATGGAATGCCTTTCCCCCACCTTCCCTGTTGGGAAAGTGGGGGAATGGGGGGAAATTTCATATAAAATATATTTAGTATTAAAGTCTTTCAGTTCAAATGTGTACAATACTACATTTCTATACTATAAAGTAAGTATAAAATTCCAATCTGAGGGTCATCACGAAAGAACTTCGAGTAATTCAGATGAGGGCCAGCTCCATACGATCTGAATTAAAGATGGGGTCAAAGTATAAAATGAGAGGGCCATGGGAGGACAATAATAAAACACTATACTGGGTCAGCTTCACCACACAAAATGTGGAACCACACGACACACTAAAATGGGCCTACTAAAAAAAAAAAAAAAGCCTGTAAGATAACCACAACAAGATCAGCAAGGTTATATAAAAAAAAACTGAATATAATGAAATGCCATTTTCTGGGTGAGACCCAGAGGCTCCCTGGAGCTATCCTGGCTGATATAAATGTATTAAACCCTGGCATCAATCAAAGCGAATCGAGTTCTAGGCCTACCGGGGACCACGAACCTGAACCTGGCCCCCTCAGAGAGGCACGAGGAGCAATGGTCTATAGAACCCCCCCTCCCCCCATGTGGTTGGAAGCATTCTATGTCTGCCATCGACCAGGTCAGGCACCCAGAAAGGTAGGTGCTCCAAAACAAACCCTATCTGGTTAAAATATTACTACTGAAAGCCAAACTGTTGGACATAACTACCCCAAACAAAAAACGAGCAAATGAGTATTTGCTTGTTTCCTTAGGTTTTGGGGAAGTTCTCCTTCTCTGTTCGGTCTACGGTTGCAATTTCTTACGAAGTGGGGTTTGTTTTGTTATGCCTCCCTTTCTGGGTGCCTAACCCTGGTCGATGGTAGCCATGGAATGCTCCCAAACACATGGGGGGGTTTCCATAGGCCATTGCTCATCATGCCTCTCTGAGGGGGGCCGGGTTCTGGCTCGTGGTCCCTGGTAGGCAGAACTCCAAATTGAAGCCCCAGATTAATATAGTGTATACCAGTCTGATAGCTCCAGGGAGCCGGAGGGGCTCTCTACAGAAAATTACTTTAAATTATTGTTACAGTTTTAATACTGGTAAAAGATGTCAGCACTTAATGACTACTATCCTAAAATAAACTTTCTTCAAGAATGAAACAACTGTTACCTTTGTTATTAGTCATTACCTCAGGATGGCATATGATGAGATTTTTCAGTTTGGTGTCTTCAAGCCAAATAGAATTCTCAGGTGTCTTCTTGGAAGAGTATGAGTGCTCCTTAGGATTAGCCATTGACATGAACAGCTCATGAACCAAAGTTTTCTCTGTAATATACAAGAATTTCTGCATCACATGTTCTGTGAGTACATAATTCCTTATTTTAATAATTACTATACATCACATGCCTGGTTTTACGATGGGATGATGTGTTTCCCTGCACCCCACACAGTGCATATATCATGGTACTGTATGTTTATAAAGAGAAGTAATGTGACTAGAAAATTATATTACATGAACAATTAAAACAATGTACTGTATGTGCTGTCAAATGTTATGGTTTATTAGCATAACACTTATTCTTTGCACACTAATACCAGTACTGTTACATTCTGCACACTAATACTGATACACTCTACACACTAACACTGTTACACTCGACTTTTACAATTGTTCACGACTTTTGTTAGGCCAAAGCTAGAATATGCAGCGGTCGTGTGGTGCCCATATCTTAAGAAGCACATCAACAAACTGGAAAAGGTGCAAAGACATGTGACTAAGCGGCTCCGAGAACTGAAGGGCAAGAGCTATGAGGAGAGGTTAGAGGCATTAAATATGTCAAAACTAGAAGACAGAAGAAAAAGAGGTGATATGATTACTATGTACAAAATAGTAACAAGAATTGCTAAAAGATAGGGAAGAATTCCTGAAACCTAGAACCTCAAGAACAAGAGGTCATAGATTTAAACTAACTAAACAAAGATGCCGAAGAAATATATGAAAATTCACTTTTGTAAACAGAGTGGTAAACAGTTGGAACAAGTTAGGCGAGAAGGTGGTGGAGGTCAAAACCGTCAGTAGTTTCAAAGTTTCAGTGAGCTCTGAAAACCCTCAAAGGTATCTGGAACGTTGGAAGGAGAGAGATGCTGTGCGCACCTCCAGCCGTCGGCATAGTCAACCGCTAAGTCCTCCTGTTACACTCCGCACACTAACACTCTTACAATCTGCTAATATAAGAACTACTCAAAAGATACCTCTCTTAGTATTAAAACCTACATGTTGGTCTCAGATAATAAATGAAAGACACTGCTGAGTCAGCAGAGCAGACAGAGCATTGCTGACCATCACAGTTCTCAACTGTTTCAAAAGTCTGTTCATTAACAAACATGCAATCCTAAAGTGCTCTTCATGTATACAATCTTCCTTACACCTTATCTGTTTGAAAATACTTCTCGTAGGGGGCCTCGTAGCCTGGTGGATAACGTGCAGGACTTGTAATTCTGTGGCGCGGGTTCGATTCCCGCACGAGGCAGAAACAAATGGGCAAAGTTTCTTTTACCCTGAATGCCCCTGTTACCTAGCAGTAAATAGGTACCTGGGAGTTAGTCAGCTGTCACGGGCTGCTTCCTGGGGGTGGAGGCCTGGTCGAGGACCGGGCCGCGGGACACTAAAAGCCCCGAAATCATCTCAAGATAACCTACTCTCTCCCCAAACACATGCTAATTTTAGATACTCATAAACAGATTTTTAGCAAACCTGTTTCATTTGGTGGGACTCTGAATAGGCTTTCTTCTTGAATCACTTTTCGATGCAGTTTATTTATCTCTCCAGCCTGATAGATCTTCCGCTCTTCCGGACTTTCACATACAAGCTTATTAACTACAACCGAGCCCTGATTGAGAGGATCCCTTGCAACCATTACAAACAGTGCACGAGTAACCTGAAAAAAATGAACAATTAAATGTAAACAGTATCTTTAAGAGCATATAATCTTTGAAAGAATTTTGTCCTTATACTAGACTTTCTTACAACAGATACAGTATATTCAAATAAAATCAATTTTTCTCACTCTGAATATGTATACAGTATTTATAATAATAATAATAATAATAATAATAATAATAATTCATTGTGTTGGGGGACAGGAAGCCAGAGTGTATTCATACACATTAGGTTTTTATTGATGTCCCTTTCGCCCAGGTCAAATTACTGACCCCGCTCAGGATTCAAGCCCACAACAAGCTGACTAACTCCTGAGTATCTACTTACTGCTAGGTGAACAGCCCATTAGGTGAAAAGAAATGTGCCCACCCATTTCCATCCCACCTGGTATTCAAACCCTGAATTTTCGATTGTGTGTCAAAAACAAACCCACCTGTACTTCCAGGACCCTTTGGATATACAGTACAGTGAATATGTATGTATATGCGAACAAGCCTGAATGGTCCCCAGGACTATATGCAACTGAAAACTCACACCCCAGAAGTGACTCGAACCCATACTGCCAGGAGCACACTGCACCTGGTGTGTACAGGACACCTTAATCCACTCGACCATCACGACCAGTCAAAAGCTGATGGTAGCCGAGGCTATTATGCCCATCAGGTCGGCCGAGCGGACAGCACGCTGGACTTGTGATCCTGTGGTCCTGGGTTTGATCCCAGGCGCCGGCGAGAAACAATGGGCAAAGTTTCTTTCACCCTATGCCCCTGTTACCTAGCAGTAAAATAGGTACCTGGGTGTTAGTCAGCTGTCACGGGCTGCTTCCTGGGGGTGGAGGCCTGGTCGAGGACCAAGCCGCGGGGACACTAAAGCCCCGAAATCATCTCAAGATAAGATAACCTGGATAGATCAGCCCGCCGGCACTCTGATGGTAATCTTGGGCATAGCATTTTATCAAATCACCTCATTCTTTGGGGCACACGTGAGGAACACAAATGCGAACAAGCCTGAATGGTCCCCAGGACTATATGCAACTGAAAACTCACACCCCAGAAGTGACTCAAACCCATACTGCCAGAAGCACACTGCACCTGGTGTGTACAGGACACCTTAATCCACTCGACCATCACGACCGGTCAAAAGCTGATGGTAGCCGAGGCGTTTTTGTCCATCAGCTCACCGGCACTCTGATGGTAATCTTCGGCATAGCATTATATCCTGCTCGTATTCCAAAAAACTCGTATACAGGGACACTCATATTCCGAGGTACCACTGTTTTTATTATATATATATATATATATATATATATATATATATATATATATATATATATATATATATATATATATATATAAAATATATATATATATATATATATTTATATTTTAAATACAAAATGAATACAGACCTGCATTTTCAATCTCCTACAAGCTATTAACAAGAAGCAACAATGAGTAAAAAGGACTTATGACAGGTGAAGAGATTCAAGGAGCCATCAAACAGGTAAAGAGAGGGGGGATCTAAATAGCAGTTGGTCCAATGAGAACATATATTAGGATTAACACTTTGGCGTACCCCGCACGCCACCCCTCAACTGTGCGCTTTGGGTCCAAGGGTTTCAGGGGAGCGTGCGTAAATTCTGAAAAGTGTATACTCTCTTCAACTTTGTCACCTTAATTCTCGTCCTACGAGATTAAATTTGGTATCATTGTGTTCGCAATAGAATTCTCTATAGCACTAAATGCATATAAACTCCAAAAGCCCGGCTAATTACCCGCAGCAAACAGAGAAAGTGCAAACGAGTTACCCAGGAGCGCGCAAACGCGATAAAATGTTTTCACTATTTTCACTCTGGTCACCTCAATTTTTGTCCTAGGTCTTTCATTTTGATCTCAATGGGTTCGCAATAGAATTCTCTAGAGGAACATTAGCATATAAAATAAAAAACCTGGTCACGCTCCAACCGCCGACGAGTTGAAGACGGGCCACGCGTTAGCCGCGAGTGAGCGCTCAGACGCCTTCCAGCTACACTCCCAATTCCCGCCCTTTTCAAGCCTTTCTTTCGCAATTTTCTTCCTGGAAGGGCCTTGTTCATGATTACTATCCATCGTGGAGTAAGCGTAGATAGTTTCTAAAGGCGCAGTAAGAAATATAGCCACGGAAAATAGTCGAAATGTTCACACGTTTGAGATGCGAGGGGAGGCGACACCGGTCACAACAGTGGAGCGAAAACAATGGGCCGACGGCGTGTGCCGAGCCGCCTGCAGGCCACGAGGCGCAACAAAGAAAATGGGAAGACATCGGCGCGCATTTTAAAACCAGTCCCAAAAAAATCGGATAAAAACCTGATTTTGGCAATTATTTAAAGTGGATGACGCAATGCTGCATCATGCCCGTCATTACCGACAGTAAACGGATGACGCAATGCTGCGTCATGCCCGGGCGAAAATGTTAAGGACCTGCCCGAAACACAATGCGTGCTAGTGGCTTTACAAGAATGTACAGTGATAACTTTTGTATACATAAATAAATAAATAAATAAATATCAATGGAACAAAAGTATTATATGAACTCTTACCTGCTTCCATATCCCATCAATATCTTGTTCTACTGTGATGATTGTTTCCATGGATGACCGGCCAGTCCAGGAAACGTGACCAGACAATCTGATATCCTTATCTGGCCGCAAAATTGCTTCTTGATTAAAATCTATTCTATCTACAAGGGCCGTAACAATACTGTAAGGACTGGGCATATCATCTTTCTGGCGAGGATTTTTAATGTGCTTGTAGCAAAGCCATACTGAAAAGAAAAAAATCCAAATAAGAACTGAACTTTGTTAAAATTTCAGTACTGTACCTATGAAAATTCTTGTCTTAAATTTTTTTTTTGTATTCTTGTATTAAAAAAATCATCACAGGATAGGCACCAGTCTTTGGACGTTGATGCCAAAAAAATTGTATAGTGTCTGCCCCAGTAAATAGAACAAAATCACAATGTTAGGAACTCTTGAATATTCCAGTACTCCAAAAACATATGAAACATGAAGAATATCAAACAAAAAACTGATAGAATAAATACAGTATTATAATAATAATTTGTATATTATTCGGTGCACTATTCTTACAAAGATCACAGTTACTCTATTGACTGTCAAGTTTAAGATGATATAATTTTCTTTCAGGAAAATGTACGGTTACTAGACTTCAGGATGACACAGGGGTTAGACATCAAGAAAGATGCATTATGGGTCATATAAATATAGTTTATATATTATATTCTATATTATATTCTATTGGTTTCATATCACCAATGTTACTGGTCTCTGACACGAACACAACTGAAAAATATATACCTTGCATATTAATAATTGATTCTTGGAATCAACTATCTTCAAGTAGCAATGTATTAAACTATCAAGAGATTTAACAAAAGCATGGATACAGTTATTCCAAAAGTCAAATACCAGAATTATTAAAACAATTGCGATCTATGCTCATAGTAGAAATAATATCTAAATTTAAATGTTAGGATATATTTAATAGCCTAAGGAAAATGTACAATTAATGTTAATTCTGCTTAGGGACGACTTGAATAAGGCCAAAACCGTTAGTAGTCAAAACGTTATACTGTACGACAAAGCGAACTGGGAATACAGGACACCACAAGTGCAGCTCTCGTCCTGTAACTACACTTAGGTAATTACCCTTACCAGCAAACACATCAAGATCTTCCAACAGGCGTCCAATTCTCACACCTCCCATGAAAGTTACATACTTCTCTCGAAGTCTTTCTTCCGATCCCAGAGGAATAAGTACACTATCCCAGCTATCCTGTAAACAACTCATTATTAATATGGTTTTTATTTCAGGATCTATAAGTACAGTAGGCATATTAGCACTTTCAAATCAAAGCAAATTAAATACTTTATTCACAACAAATTTAAGTACTTTTTAATTGATTTAGTTAAGACAAAATTTAAGTACTGTAAATTATCCCTTTGCAAAACGAAAGTCATAATAAAGTAATAGCATAACACAAAATCATTATGCACATAATTATATAATGAACTGTATAATAAAGGTGACAAGGCCAATTATGACACGATTCTCAGTACAGTATATGAAAAATACTGTTTAGACAGCAGTGATATTTACAATTCTATAGACATTCATGGATACATTATAAAGAACAGGAGGAGATGTACCAGATAATTTAAAATCATGTATTTTATTGCAGCTATATATAGCAGATTTAGCAGCTTTGATTTAAGACATAAATTGGAAAGCATGTTGATGAAATCAGAGAGGTGACCATTGTCAAAGATGAAGTCGGTAAAAAACCAGCGTTGAATGCAATGAAACGTTACATTCTGGGCGAGCCCCGGAGGATCCCCCATGTGCAGCTGGGGTTCCCCCCTCCCTGTTGGGGAGGGGAGGGCTGCGTGAACAAGCGGCACAGCGATGGAGTGTGGCGTTTGCTTGTTACCTTGGATTGGAAGGAGTTCTGCCTCTCTTTTCGGTTTTTAGTTATAATTCTTCTTACCATGTGGGGTTTGTTTTGTTATGCATACCTTTCTGGGTGCCTAAACTCATTCAATGGCAGATAAAGAAAACCCCCCAACCACAGGGGGTTGTTCCAGGGTCATTGCTCCCTGAACCTCTCTGAGGTTCTTCCAGAGCAACATGCTTCCACTACACATAAGGGGCATAACTGGCCAAACCCTCACAGTGTTCAAGAGAGAACTATCAACACCAGAGGCCCAAGACTGTTCAACATGCTTCCACTACACATAAGGAACATAACTGGCCGACCCCCTCACAGTGTTCAGGAGAGAACTTGACAAACACCTCCAAAGGATACCTGATCAACCAGGCTGTGACTCATACGTCAGGCTGCGAGCAGCCACGTCCAACAGCCTGGTTGACCAGTCCAGCAACCAGGAGGCCTGGTCGACGACCGAGCTGGGGGTTGCCTGAGCCCCGAAATCACCTCAAGGTAACCTCAAGGTAAAAGATGGGGGGGGTGGCAGGTTCTGGCTCGTGGTCCCCAGTAGACTGAACTCCATAGACAAAACCTGTGGCCTTCAAACGTTCCTGATATGAGGGATATCTTAGATCTGGAATGACTTTTGTTGCCCAGTGTTGCACCTTCTCCAGAGCAGCTATGTCCTTCTAAAAATGTGGTCTCCATACTTGGACAAAGTAATCTAAGTGGGAGAGCACCAGATATTTAAACAGTTGAACCATTACCTTCTTTTCCTTATAGTTGGTCAAGGACTTTGTCCTCATAGTCCTCAAGGAGCTTATAGACTTCGGGCAATTTCCTAAAGCTTGACCAAACCAGATCTTAGGCTCTGGAAGCTACTGATGGAGCTCTCCCAATGTCATGTCTGGCTTTTATTTTTATATATTGTAGTTATTGAGTAAATGATAAATGTATCTATGTTGTACTCTATGTGTTCTATCTCATGTGTTTTAAACATATGTAATGTATGCATCTATATCATTTGTTTGAATCCCTCAATTAATAAAGTCTTATGTAGTTCATTTGAAATTTGCCATATTTACTTTTAAAAAGTTCCTTAAATATATTTAAAATTTAAAGTTAACTTTAAGTACCTATCCCCCCCTCCCCCAATGAAGCAAATTACACAAAAAAATTTAAACCGAATGCTAACAGTTTACCATCATAGTGCGCACGGGCAACTCATCACGGGATGCTGGAAGAAGCTCTAGCAGAAATGTCCGATCCACAACTTGGCTGAAACTCTTTGAGGCTCCAACCTTGTGTGTTAAGTCGGTTATCACTGAAATGTCAAAAATTTATTAAAAAAATATATATATATATATATATATATATATATATATATATATATATATATATATATACAGGTATATGATTAAACTTCAGTGAACAATAACAATGACTGTACAGTATATACTATTACAACATCTGATGCTAATAATCATTTTAAACTAATGATTTATTCAGTGCCAGTACTGAGCTGAAGACCTAGAGGCGTTCACCAAGGTCTTTACCTAGAGGTGAAGACCTTGTCATTATCACTCGGCATAACTTTCCTGCTCACTTTTAACTTTGTGATAAATTGAATAAAGATTTAAAGTACCTTGAAAGTTGTCAGATTTTAATAAAGTTGATAAAAATCAGCACTTTTTGAAGTACAATATACATTACGTCACATTTGTACACACATGACTTATAGGAGAAAGATTTGTTCTGTACATGTTCAGTATATTCAACTTCAAGACATGTAGAATGCATTTTTAATATGTAAGTACAGTAAATTCATCACCTAAATGTGTAAATTCATTCTCTGCATGCACAATTATAAGCTATAGATGATAAATTAATTCTGTATCTTCAACTCTTAAATGTAATATTTATGCTTTGCAAGTACATTTGAGATATAAAGGGGAAATCAAACCACACACTAGAAAGTGAAGAGACGACGACGTTTCGATCCGTCCTGGACCATTCCACAATTGACTTGAGAATGGTCCAGGACGGACCGAAATGTCGTCGTCTCTTCACTTTCTAGTGTGTGGTCTGGTCAACATATTTCAGCCACGTTATTGTGACTCCTCATCTGCACAAGGGGAAATCATTAATTCAAGAGCACTTAAACTCCTAGAAGACGAGCAAGATTAATTTCATGCTAGTTCAAGCAACACCTAAAAGTGGTGCTAATAACTTATTCATTTTACTTTATCAGAATTATAGTAAGTAGTGTATAAAGCTAAGGGTTATGTAGTTTTGGCATGTCACATTACCATCTCTTATAGTTTTTGAAGGAGAAACCTCTTGTGGAGTCATATGAAGCTGTCTCTTCTGCATTGGTGCAGCTAAACTTCTCAAATGCCCTTCAGTGCTTGCTATTCTCATAGCCCGGGATCCACCTCTGTACCAAGAAAACTAAAACATTAGTTCACAAATACACTCCCTATTTACAACTTTACTTGTGCATCCAAGTTACATAGTTACATTAGAACTGGTCCTCGCCCAAACCTGTTCCTTTTCCAGTGTAGTTAAAACACAATGTTTCAGAGCTCAAAGAGTTATAAACTCTTCAAATCAAACTCTACTCATTTGGCTGAAAGTAGACATATTGTATAGACAATATTTATCCAATACTTCATTCAATATTCTTAAGCCAGTTTTTAAATAATGCATATCATACATTACTCTAGCAATGTATCTTCAAGATTGGCATCCTGTACAGTATGCTAGAGGGAGGAAAACCTGGTATTGCTCGTGTAACAGACTCCACACACTCACAACATACTATTTCCATTGCTGTAACCATCTTCCTTGTGCACTATCTTCATCCATGTAACTATCTTCCCTGTGCACTATCTTCATCACTGTAACCATCTTCCCTGTGCACTATCTTCATCACTGTAACCATCTTCCCTGTGCACTATCTTCATCACTGTAATCATCTGAACTACACACACACAACCTTGTAGTCCCCGTGGCACAGCGGTAAAACACTCACCTGACGCTTCGCTAACCTTTTGGCCTTTGTATCCTGGCCAGGGAGGATTGACTGGGTGCCAATCCTTAACTGTAGCCTCTGTTCACCCAGCAGTGAATGGATACCTGGCTGTTAAACGATTTGGTGGGTCGTATTCCGAGGAAAAATTAGGATTAAGAACCTGCCCGAAATGTTATTCATGCTAGTGGCTTTACAAGAATGTAAGAACTCTTGTATATATAAATAAATAAATAAACAAAAATCATCTCTCTTCTATACTGTAACCATCCAAACTACAAACACCATCCTCATCACTGTAATCATTTTCACTACATACTCCACTCATCACAATAACCATTTTCACAACTTGGGCACCACTAGATACACCAGCTACAACCATCATCACTACCACCTTCCCTCTCCTTCACCACCTTCCCTTTCCTTCACCACCTTCCTCCTCTCCTTCACCACCTTCCCTCTCCTTCACCACCTTTCCTATTTTTCTTCTTCGCGATACGTGCAGTTTCGCATGAAGATTTTTCCTCTCGATGACTGCACGAGTGGTAATGTTGAAAGACGTGGCACTCACAGTAGTGCATCAATGTTCACAATTTGGCAAAGGTTGAAAGTTATCGAGGTCATCTTTTTGTGTGAGGATAAAGACAAAAATAAATATATGAGTGGAAATGGACCCAGGACGACAAAGATGAGGAGTTGTGGTAGCTAAGTGGTACAGTAGTCAAATGTTGCTTTGTTCTATGGAAAGTGTGTGGTTAAGTCAAAAGACTGAGTTTGTGAGTCAAAGTATGATTGGGAGTTAGTCGCAATTCAGATAGATTAGGGTAGGGTAAATTAGAGTATATTAAGTAGCATGGGATTAGTGTGTACAAGATTAGATTAGGTTGGGGTAGGTTATTTGAAGATGGGTTATGTTATGTTGCCGTATTTCAGATCTTTACGTCTGGGATGCTGTTGCATCGGTCTTCAGTGATGTGCTAGTAGTGCAGCGTGTTAAATATCTGGGAGTGGTTGGAGGATGTATTGTGGGAGAGTGGTTTATGTGGTTTTTCATCCAAAGTGCCAGGTTGCTGGGAGATTTATAAAGCTGGGGATTTCTTACTCTTAGTGCCGGTGGTTGTGGTTTGTGGCAAGTCAGCCTGGGAAGTGACTTAGATAAGGTGTGCTAAGTAGTTATTTAGGAGTTTGTCCATCATTAGTTCAAACGATTTGTATACAGTAATGGTAGCTGCGTTAGGTCGGCTGTCATTGTATGTAGATGTGGATGGGGTGTGTGTTGGGTAAGCCTCAAGGATGGGTTGGATTCCTTGTGCAAAGAATTTAGTTACGAGTTAGTCCAGCATCTTTTCTAGTGCATTTTCAATGGGAGTGACAAGTGTTTCAACAAGATCGGGACTCAGTTGTACATATTGTGGGAAAGGATTGGACTCTGGGGGTACAGGATGGTCAGTGACAGACATATCTGGTACAAGCAAAGGTTGTGGTTGAGTGTGAAGTAGTGGTTGATGATGGACTGAGTTAGGTTGTTTCAGTGCATTACTGTCTTGTAGGATGTTGGTGGGGGAGAGCTGTAGTTTTTGCTGCTATGCATGAAGGACAGTGTTTGATTGTTCTGTCATGATCGCCACCACAGTTTGAGCAGCTATATCTGATGCACAGTCTTGTGTGTAATGGGAATCAGAGCAATTCCCACATTTGATGTCTTTGGTGCAGCCTTTTAAGGTATGATTAAAACCTTTATCATCCTTCCTGCCCAACACCACCTTACTTATCTTTCACCAACTTCCCTACCCTTCACCATCCACTCTATGCACCACCACCTTTCCTACCCATCACCACATTTCTTAATACTCACCATCTTCTCTATCCCTTACCATCTTCCCAACCATTCATGACTTTTCAGATCATTTACCAACTTCCCTACCCTTCACCTTCTCTACTCTTCAACACATTCCCTTCATCCCTGTAACCAGTTTCACTAAATACCATTTTCATCATTAACTACCTATATAAGAGAAACTAACATTTAATCATCTTGTACAAAATAACATGCTGGATGAAACTTAGCGAGGATGGAATCTGGCATTTAGCAAGATTGAAAATTAGTGTCATTTGCCATTTCATGCAAAAAGAGAGGCATGGGGCTTGACCCTGACCCACTGATTACACCTTATTCCCAGATAAGGACCAGTCAGCCTGCAAAGTTTGGTGAGGGTAGCCCCAAGCATTTGGTCCCTAACCTCAGACAGAGGATGCATTTGAATAATTCTTCTGTTATAATACCCAACATTTTTACGTTATATTACATATTCATGCAGATATTTAATTTCATAAATGATGGACCTGCTAGCAACATACTCTTTACAGATTATTATTATTGAACTTTGGATGGTATCTAGATTTGGCACCCAAAACCATCCAAACTTTGAACTGCTCTAGCTTAGGCCAGATTTGACAAAAGGTAATGAACAATTGAATTTCCTACAGTAAACCAAATGTGCAATGCAGATTAGCTGTTATTACATGAAGAAATGCAAATACTTTAGTTTGGAAAATACTCTTTACAATACATACCTGAGAACACATGGCAAGGCTAGCTGGAGCAACAATGAACTCATCTTGCTTGACCTAAAATAAAGGCAAAATAAAATATCACCAAAAGTTGTATACGTGATACATAAATGGATTAAGCACACTGTCCCCCCCCCTCACAAAAAAAAAAAAACAGCGTTGAATGTAATGAAAGCCATTTTCTGGGTGAGATCCAGAAGCTTCCCGGAGCCTACTGGACTCCCCCCAGAAAAGTTCTTAATGTAGCAAAACACCCATTTCTGGTAGGCCCTCAAATTCTGACCCTGGCTTACAGTAGGTTAGCATTGATTTCAGAGCCCTGACACAATCCTACTGCTGTGCGGTACAATGCCAGGGATGTACCACACCCCTGACACCCTTTAATTAGGAAGGGGGGACTGCCTTCCCAGAGGCAGCTTCAGCCTAAATTCCATAAGCCATACATTATTGTTGCCCAAATAATTATAGACTGGGTTGGGAAAATATTGAGTTTGGAACCATTGCCTATGAACCAGACAATGCCTATGAACCTGGCAATACCTATGAACCCGATATTGCCTATGAACCAGACAATGCCTATGAATCTGACAGTTCCTATGAACCAGACAATGCATATGAACTAGGCTATGCCTATGAACCAGTGCCTATTAACCAGACAATGCCTATGAACCAGACAGTGCCTACGAACCAGACAATGCCTATGAACCCGACAATGCCTATGAATCTGACAGTTCCTATGAACCAGACAATGCTTATGAACTAGGCTATGCCTATGAACCAGTGCCTCTTAACCAGACAATGCCTATGAACCAGACAGTTCCTATGAACCAGACAATGCCTATGAACCAGACAATGCCTATGAACCAGACAATGCCTATGAACCAGACAATGCCTATGAACCAGACAATGCCTATGAACCAGACAATGCCTCTTAATCAGACAATGCCTATGAACCAGACAGTGCCTATGAACCAGACAATGCCTATGAACCAGACAATGCCTATGAACCAGACAATGCCTATGAACCAGACAATGCCTATGAACCAGACAATGCCACGGACTGCCAGCCACCTTTCACCAATTTTATGGGGAGGGCAGCAATATTATCCCCCCCTCCCCCGCCCTCTTCATAGGATCGAGCTTTGACCATTCTATGTCCATCCCATACCCCATCCCATTCACCCTGCAAAGTTGGATGAGACTAGCCACAAGCATCTGGCCTTCAAACTCGCACAGACCGACAGACACACTCTTATATAGAATGGGGATCTCCCAAGGATGCAACCCACCACATCAATTGCCTAACTCCCAGGTACCTATTTACTGCTAGGTGAACAGAAGCGTTAGGTGAAAGGAAACGATGGCACAGGTGCCAGATGTATTTGCTTGAAGGTTTTATAAGTGTTGGGTAATGTACAGGCTTTCTATTGTCTATGGTAAACTGCTGTGTCTTATGGCTGAGAAATAACACACTCTTTGGGATTTTTTAATGGACAAAGACTTGTGTCTTCTTTACAGTACGTGAAGTTTGCGTGAAAAAAATGTTTTTACCTCTGTAAGGTGTGATCTTTCTTCTTTATGAATGACTACAAACACAGCCCACGACTCCATCAGCTGGGCAACAATAACAACATTTCTAGTTTTATACACATTCTCAGTCACAATTTATTTATGTACACATACAATATGTTATGCTATTAATATAATTTTAAGTATAATGAATTAGCTATATGTTTTTCAATGTGTAACATTATTGTTGAATATTATTTGTGCTTGTGAACACTAATTAAAGGGAGCATGACGTCATCGAGGGGATGATAGTATAAAACCGCATTTTTTTATTTAATTTAGTCCATTTCATGTGGTCTCCATCTCATGTTGGCCTCCGAATGCATGATAGAGCTGATAAGTTAGCCAAAGAATCTGCCTTTAAAGGAGCCGTTGAGGGTAACCTTGGATTGTCAATGAGCAATCTGAGAGCAGCAGTACACCGAGAACTTCAACAAGATCTTGTAGATCTGAGGCAAAGTGAAATTGACACCAGTAATTCCATCTATCATCATACTATCATGCAAGAGGAGCCACACATCTATGGATCATCCAATAAAATCAGCAGACTTCTAGATGTTACTACTGCTCGGCTTAGACTCGGTTACAAGTATCTCTCGGAATTCTCATTATCTGCTGATGTAGACCTGACCAAATGTAAACTGTGTCAACAAAATTATTCGCACACCTTCCGTCACTATGTGATGGAGTGCGAAAAGATACGTGAATTTAGAGACAATTCTATAACCAATGTTCCAGCGATGTGTCAATATTTCATTCAAAATGATCTGCTAGCAGAAATTTTAGCCAAATATCCCCAGTTTGCTAACTGTAGGTAGTAACTAAGTGACTGTAACCTATCCACCGCTGCCCACTGGATGGGGGGCGGTGTGCAGGACAAACATATCAATTGTGACACTAGCTCTCCACATATGTCAGTTGCTTAATTTAGAAACTGTGCTTGTGGTCCATCTCGAACCCATTGTTGATGTGATGACTTATATTCAATTTTGTAACTAGCTCATCAAGATTGTAACTTGCTTAGCTAAATGAATTGTGGGGTTCAGCCCCTGAGCCCATTATGTGCCTCTGTAACCCTTTCCACTACCGCCCACAAGATGGGTATGGGGTGCATAATAAATGAACTAAACTAAAACTAACTTTATTTAATTTAGGTAAATTAAGTTTTGAACCGACAAAACTGATCACTGCGCTATATGCACAGACTTTGGTTACTGAGCATACTTCGGTTAAGGAGCATATTCAGTTAAAATAAAAACTCATGCGCTTGTATACTAACATCCCCTCGATGACGTCATGCTTCCTTTAATTAGTGCTCACAAGCACACACAATATTCAACAATAATATTATACATTGGCAAATATAGCTAATTCATACGCTGTGTGTATTATTAGAAGGTTCAGAGGTTTGCCACCAGACTGGTGCCCGAACTGAGGGGCATGAGCTATAATTAGAGACTACAGGAATTCAACTTCACGTCGCTGGAAGACAGGAAAGTTAGGGAGGGACATGATCACCACATACAAGATTATCAAAGGAATTGACAGGGGAGACAAAAGACAGTTTATTTAGCACAAGTGGCATACGCACTAAGGAATACAGGTGAAAATTGAGTGCCCAAATGATCCATAAAGACATTTGAAAGATTTTATTAGTTAATAAATGGAATGCACTAAGAAGTGATGTGGTGGAGGCTGACTCCATACACAGTTTCAAGTGTAGATATGATAAGAACCCAATAGGCTCAGGAACCTGTACACCTGTTGATTGATGGTTGAGAGTCGGGACCAAAGAGCCGAAGCTCAACCCCCGCCAGCACAACTTGGTGAATACAACTACGTGAATACGTAAATATACAAGTTTGTTTGTTTAGATTCAGCTAATTTAAACAAAGGTTCCAAGTAGCACGGGCTATGGTGAGCCCGTAATGGACTTACCTGGCACAGGAGCGGGGCTGTAACTTGCTCTCTCTAAAATATTGATTGATAAAGATTAAAGCTGGACAGGATCCCCCACTTACTGAACAACTGGGCAGGATGCCCCACTTACTGAACTGGATTTATATTATATTTATTATTTCACATAAACCTAAAAACAAAGTATTATTATCTGGAAATCAGGACCTAGATTCAGGAAGCTCTGTGTATTTCTTCGTAAGTGGGTTTGCTACGAAGGTTCCTAAGTGCGCCCTAAGAAGATGCTTAGGTGCGATTCAATAAGGTATACTTAGGAAGAAAATTGTTGGTTCACCTGCGTGCCGATAGAGGTCACTACTGTGTTTCGTTTGGCCAATCAGAGAGCAGCAACATTCTTCATATTGAAGATTTAGCGCTGGCTTATCGAAGCTCTACTGCCGCCTATTTACGTCGAATTTTCTTATAAAATTAGTATATTTCGAAGTAAAACAATGTTTTTTCAACTTCTACAGCCAGCACCGACATTGTAGTAAACAAATATGTTACATTTGTTGTTTACCTACGTAATTCTAAGAGATACTGTGTAGCTGTCCTTGTTGCTCGGAAGATGCGCTGACAATTATTGTATATATTTACTGAATTTACCCAAGGGCCACTAACTATCTAGTGGCCTCGAAGAGGACAGAAAGCCGGCGGCTTGTTAAAGGGCCCGCCAATTGTCTTAATGATATTTTTTAGCTGGAATTTGGCATTTACGGCTTCAGCGGGTAGGCGGTTCCATGGGTTTATAGCCCTCTTGGTGGAAAAAAAACATCTGTTTTCAGTCCTACTTGAGAGAACATACTCTCCAACACTATATCTGTGATTGTCCTGTTATCAGTGACTTCATACCAAATGGTATGAGGTATTTTGAGCTCTGTAATTACTTCATACACTCAGGAATATTGGAAGATATTCTTGTGCTGCACCCAGATTTTGCCAGTGGAGGCTAATAGATCAGCATTAAGTATTTTGTTCTCTCCTAATTCCATGTATGACTGGCCATCCTGTGAAGTGAGGATGTTGGGTGAGCTGGTAGCTGGTTTTTGATCTACACTGTGTGGTCCTTTATACAGAATAGGAAAGCAGCACATTGCTGTGTATACCTAAACATGTTTAAAAATACATTGTTTGAGAGGAGTTTTGTAGAAACTGGTAAGAGTAATTATAATATAATGTTTCCATGATTCAGTGCTTACCTCTTGTGAAAATTGCTTAGAGTTGTTTAGTCAGAGTTGATTTGTTTTTTGTATTGAGGCTGGTATTTTCTAAATTGATTCCATGTACAGTATGTCTAACCATCCTGTGAGATGGGAGTATTAGATAAACTTATAGCTAGTTTTTTATCTACACTGTGTAATATTCCATATAGAATAGGGTAGCAGCACATTGCTGTGTATACCTAATCTTCTTAATAAAAAAAATCAGTAATAAAGATTTTAAATTATAGTTTGTATTATTACAAATACAGTACTGTATTATCCTTATTAAATCATGTTGACCATGGATCATTAAGATCTCATGTTGATATGTAATACAAGTCATATTTCTTTTGAACTGCTAATCCATGCTAATCATTCATTAAATTGTGCATTATGTCTCAATTTTTCACTTCCTTGGATATACTGTACAGTACAAAAAGTTAGGATAAAAATAAACCAGTAATATTTCTTTCATTATATTTTTCATTTAAATAACTGCATCAATATTTTTACAGCTGACAGGATTTGTTTTACCATACAGGTGCATTATTTGTTAAAAAAAATTTGGTTTATTGTTACACACAATGGTGCTACATAACCTTCCCAGCTTGGTGCCTTCTTTTAATACTTACTGATTAAAAAATAAATAATAAATACATTTTATTCAGGAAAAGTACATACAGTTGATTTACAAACATAATGTTGGATTTATAGACAGAGCTAGTACATACAATACCTAAAGCCACTAATACTCATAGCATTTCGGGCAAGGTGTGGGGGAAAAAACACAGACTATAACTTAGTAATCGGGATTAGGTATAAATTGTGTTGAAAGAAGGAATAAAAAATACAAAAACGGGGGTTAGCATAGCATAACTCAGCAATTGCACATGTTGGTGAACAGCGTTGTTTAAAAAATAGCAAGACATGGGTTGACATTTAGGAGGTAAGTTAGGTTACATGGAGTTAATTAGGCAGTACTTGGTTTAACTCTTAAACTGGTTGAGAGAGGTACAGCCTTTGACATGATTCGGGAGGTCATTCCACATTCTGGGTCCCTTGATTTGTAGAGCACTTCTAGTTTGGTTACACACAGCTAAATTGAGTAACAGGAAGAGGTCTTGGACACAAATTTGTTCCATGCTAAATGTAGAGGAATCAGCTGAGTATTCCTCAAATAAAATAAGTTGCCTCAGCTTATAAGGTAAATAAAATAAGCATTTCTCAAATAAGTAGCTGCCTCACCTCACTGCCTTACTGCTACATAGCCTTCCCGGCATGGTGCCTTCTTTTGATAATTACTTGTTCCACACCCAAATTGTATAACAGGAAGAGGTCTTGGACCCCTACTTCCCTCTCTCTTTTTTAGTAGTCTATATAGTCATAATTATAGCTTTAAGTATTCAATGAATAAAGTTTTTGACATTTTTACCCTTTTCCTTACCTAACATCATTTGTGCAGCATATTTTTATTTTATGTCTCGCCCAGATTTAATTTCAAAATAAAACCAAACTAAATAAATTAGAAATGGGTATGTATAGCTAAGGTACACCCTTACTACTAGGTGAACAGGGGCATTTGTTGATAGTAAATGATCCCATCAGGCAGGGCTCATCACCTTCTCTCATATTTCATGTTCACCAGTGTTTATTTACTTAATAACTACTGGTATAATATCTTGCTATTATAAAACTAATTCTACTATCATCAAACACATATTTACTTCAAGTTTCAAGCAGAGAATGCATATATAACTAACACGAAGGATTACTCTTCACTAGATTCACCAGCAATAATATTTTGGTCATGTTCCAATATCATAAATCGATCCCAGTGTTATGTAGTAGAGAAAAAATGACTTATATCCAGTTTACGTAAAGCTACGAGTGGTCGAAACCACACTTAAATCCCGGAATGAACTTACGAAGGTTTTTCCACTTAGGGTAGCTCTTTGAATACAGACGTAGCCGCCACGAAGGCGCTAAGAAGGAATTCGTTCTTAGCTAAGAGGAAAAACCTTCGTAAGTACCTTCCTGAATCCGTCTTCTTTTCTGTATGAAAGTTTGTGTTAGGAACATACAGACACACTGTGGCATATACAGTCTTATATACATAGTTTATTACAATAAATACGTTACAAATCTTTATATTAATAATGTATTTTAATATAAACTTGCAATAATTCGTTATATAAATATTTATATAAAAGTATATTAATATAAAAATCAGCTGATAAAGAGAGAATATAAGCATAAGCTAGACACAAAAGTCTTGGCCTAAATTTAGGTATTTGTTACAGTAATCATTGATGATCATATCAGCATACTGGTCCACGAGGATGTACCCTACATGGCCCTTGTCCAGGCAGTTCCAGTGGTGCCAGGGTGGAGTGTGCAGGGGTTGTGCCTCACAGCGGAGGGTGTAGGCCCTGGAGAGTGGCAGGGTGCTGTCCCAGATGATCACACCCGTCCCTGACAGCTCCTCCAGCGCCGCCTTGTTGTACAGCGGGTAGTTACTCCGGGTGTTGATGGCTTCCGTTGCATTGGGTATGCTGGCTCGCTGAGGGGTAAATGCTCTTTTTAGGGGGGTAGAAATAGCCTAAGCTACTCTATCCCTTTAAGATGTATTTCTTTCTTGTCTCAATAAACATACTTGAACTTGAAATGCTCTTTTGTTTAGCTCTAATATTTTATTCATACATGTTGTTATGAATTCTGATTTTAAAGTTATTCGTGAAAATGAGCAAAATTGAATAAATATAACAATTTACAAGAATGCAATATGAAATACTCTTTACCTTATAAAACAGCTTTATTGAAAAAATAATAATAGTAGCAGCAATAACAATGCAACAGTGACAATACCACTGCAATAACGCCACAATTTATGGAACACAGAAGGAAAAGTAATTACAGCAAGTAACATATGAACGGCTGGGCGGAATGAATTATCGGATTAAGATTTTCTTAGGCTTTTTAAGGCATCTCTAAGTTATGGGGTCATATTTAACACCAACCCAAACTAATACTTAATATTTTGCTTTCCTGTTTTCCAGAATATCCCTAAATAAAATAATGTAGAAAATAATCAACATAAATATATACTAATAGGATTAAATAATACATAAATGGAAAAAGTACCTCGTATCAATTTAATATCCCGAAGAAAAAGGTGGAAATTATCCGTTTAATTTTTCGTAGGCTCCAATCTTATTGGTCGAAGGCACTGTGAGTAATGGATAATCCGGCACTGTCCAAAACTATCAACATCACTACACAGAACTCCAGAGTCGCCAAGAAGCAGTAGTGGACTACGCTCTATGTGTCAACAACAGAAGCAGACCCAATACTCTCAGGGTATCTAGAACTGCAGTAGATGCACTACTCTCTGGGTATTGAGAACCGCAGTAGATACACTACTCTCAGGGTATGGAGAACCGCAGTAGATATACTACTCTCAGGGTATGGAGAACCGCAGTAGAAACACTACTCTCAGGGTATGGACAACCGTAGTAGATACACTACTCTCAGGGTATCTAGAACCGTGGTAGATGCACTACTCTCTGGATATCGAGAACCGTAGTTGATACACTACTCTCAGGGTATTGAGAACCGTAGTAGATGCACTACTCTCTGGGTATCGAGAACCGTAGTAGATACTCGACTCCTATCACTTGGAAACATTACCCCTTAGCTAATAAGCCCAAACAATAAAAAAACACACTATTTTAGGTATCAAGGAACTGAAAGATACACATATTACCTTGAGGTCGTCGAGGAGCTTAAAGACGACAGTGGTGTTGGCTGCGAGGCGGGCGAGCTGGTCCTTGAAGCTGCTGATGTCTTTCCTGTACAAGGCGACGGCTGCCTCGGGTCCTTGGCTCTGGTACACCTTTTGTGTGTGCAACATCCAATGCAGCGCTCCAGCTGTTCGGAGATTCATGGAATGTCTCAGTTAGAATGGAATGTAATGTATTTAACGTGAAAACATATTGTATCATTTCGGTGTAACCCGAGGAGCCTCATTCATATTGTGAATTGTGCCCGGTATTCATGAAACTCAAACAATCTCTTGTGAATGTCGATCTGAGGAAGCTTGGACACAAGCTGGAGAAAGGTATTTGTGCACACCTGGCTTTGTTGACCTTGTCATGCAATCTTACAGTTTTGAATAGATCCATTTATAGCTTAGTAGCTTTATTGTACTGATAAATGGAATGGCTCCATTCCATAAGGCTCTAAATTTTATTTCAAGAAAAATTCAACTGACATTCGTGTGTACTTTTCTACCACAGTCAAGTCAAATTAATGAAATGCCATTAAAATTGCATTTATATTAACTAATTAATTTATGCTAATACGAATAATTATTTGTATTAGCATAATTATGTGTAGTATTTCAGTAGCATAGAATTATTATTGTTGAGAAACCTATATTATGTAGTTGATTACTCTTAGATGGATAAAATATTTATTAAATATGTAGAATGCTGTACGTTTTTTGTTTTCAAATAATAAATTATGTATTCTGAGTGCAAACCTCACTGTACACAATGAAACTACACGGCATACTATGGAAGCCTCATTGTACTCAGTGAAAGCCTCATATACAATGAATGTCTCACTGCACACAAAGGAAACAATTAAAGCTTATTTTATACAATGTAAACCTCATTGTACAAAATGAAAACCATACCATACTAGACAACAACTACATAACCTTTTCTCATTATACAAAAAAAACGTGAAAAATGCAGACCTAAGATAATGAGTGTTGGGGAGCGGTGAGGATGCTGCTCCCACTCCGTCAGCTTCTTTGGCAGCATTGTCAGCTTTCTGTCACAGTAGTAGGTCAGATGGAAATTGGCACTCAGGTCGCGAGCTTCAATATTTTGCATAGTTTTATTAACATGAAGCGTCACCTCCAGAGTGGCTGCACTCAACCACTGGTCCTGCGGGTGATCAACTACTGTTATAACCCTGAGATCCCGTCAGTTGTCATCTAGAAGTCATATATGATTTTATAAACAACTAACCTTATCCGGCAGTCGGTACTGGAGGGTGGGGCTCCTGAAGCGTGTGAGGAAGGCGGTGAAGATGTACCTTATATGAGAGTCTCCAAACAATGCCCAGTGTTCGCCCCTGGCATCAGGCCCCATAACACCAGCTTCAGTAGGTCTAGCGGCGTTGTCACCAGCATCACCACTGGTACCGTTACTGCTGTAATGAACGTTAGACGTTTTGTTCAACCCGTCCTCGACTCAAGTCCATTACATTCAGCGGTCGACCCCACAGACGCATTCATAAATTTTAACATGCTGTTCATTCAAAACGGGAATTTTCTCAAGTATAAATTAATATTATAATATATTGGAATATTGTGTATATATAGGCATAGGATAGGTTAGGTCAGGTGTTTAGGTTCTGTTGGCGTTTATTTGTATTTGTAGTATGTGGGTGAAGCATTTATAGCGTTGTGATTCGAACAAAATTCGTCAGTGAAGCACTTGTTCCGGATATGTTCGAACGTCAGCAGTTGTGAGTCGTGTGTAAACCGCTTTTCATTCATAAACAGGGGGTTTGGCGGGTGCATGGAATCACTTTTGGATCTTTGTTTGGAGGACGGGCTGAATGGACTTGAGTCGAGGACGGGTTGATTAGTGGCTTTAGGTATTGTATGTACTAGCTCTATCTATAAATCCAACATTATTTGTAAATCACCTATGTATGTACTTTTCCTGAATAAAAATTGAATTTGATCCAACATAATACTCATCTCCTGTAACCTTTAATAACCTAGTTAAAACCTTAAGAGTGAAATGTTATGAATCAAATCTTCGTAGCAGTATTAAATCCGTAGCCTCATACTCTCTGTTGTCAGCTGTGGGAAATATCCTACAAGATATATTAATAACTAATTCATAATACTAAATTATATTATGGTCCTCAATTACAACTATTATTGTAAGTTGATTATTAATATTATTGGATAATTATTATTGAGTTGAAGAGTAAGAAATGGGAAAGGTAATTAAGTATTAAAAGCTAGCAGGTTATATCAGTTTGATATATCTATGTCAAGTGTGGTTACCTTGAGGTGCTTCAGGGCCTTAGCGTCCCCGGGGCCCGG